AACTCAGCTGCAGACATTCTCCACTTTCAGCCAGCTGCTTTGGAAGAAAGAGCCATAAACAGAATTGGACTAAAACATTTCTCTCCTGTTTTTAAGAGGAAAGGGTCACTTTGACCCCCCCCCCCCCCCTAAACGGTGTGCTTGGCGGGCGTACAGGGTGTTTGTTCCCAGTCAAATCAGCCGACACCTCGGCTCAGGCCGGAGCAACTGGGGAACCGTTCTTCTCTCTGCGGTGTCTCACTGCCCGTTTTATCAGAACCAAAAACAACAAAAACGCATTCTTCCCTGTTGCTAAACTGTTTGATTTGCCAACTGTCAGCCCTCCGTTTGGAAACCCAGACCCGGGGCTGTGTGAGTGCGAGGCCTGTGCGGGTGGAGACTGACCCCCCCCCCCCCCCCGGCCCCCCTTCCATTTTCTCAGCCAGAGGTTGTAAACAAAGTACTTCAAGACATATGTTCCCTTTTTTTTTTCCAGGCCATCATTGTGTGAATTTGCTGGAATATTTTGGGCGGTTTTCTAACCATGGCGATGCGGTTGAGCGGCCTAACTGACAAACTGACGGAGGGACTGCCAGAAAAACGAGAGAAAATCATTAAACTTCATCGTGTGCTCGTGTTCACATCCAGTAAGATAAACTCAGGAAGTTCAATACAAATAAATTCAAATTAAGTGCAATGTTATAATCCACATACTTAGGAGAATAAATGCTTAAATAACATTACTGCAGACTATGTCCGAGTCAGGGTTCCTGAAGTTTGTGTTCACGTTTTAGAATCTAAACCTTTAAAATGAGTTGCGCCCAGTGTTCAAACTGCTCCGCTGCTTCGACGGTAATTCACTTAGATTTGTTGATGATCCCATTTTTGTGAATAAAAACATGGATGATTTTCAGAGACAATATGCTTAAACGTGTGGAGAATTATGGTGTTGTGGAGACTATCAACAATGTTGAGATGTTATTGTCAACAATGCAAAAAAAAACAAGACAAGAGAAAATGTATGAACCTGCAGATCCGTTTCTGACGCTGGCAGATCTGTTGTGTCCTGAATAAATTGTTCTATAAAGGCTGCTTTCACTCATTTTCACAGCTATATAAACTTAGAGCGCATAGAAAATGTTCAATCTGCTTCTCTTTGGATGTCACCTCTTAAAGTCTGCTCTCAATCACCCGTTTTCGTATTGTTTTTACAGATTTAACCTTAGAAACGGCAAGCTTGTTTATGCAGGTTTTAACACGGGATGTTTTGCACCATGCACTGTTGCTGGGTAAATATACAAATCATGAGATTATTAAGATTAAATCAACAGGAATTGATGGTATTTTTATTTGTATTTCATTTGTTTTGAAGTCAGTCAGATGGTCTCTGTTCCAAAGTAGAAATAAAATATAGAATTTTTACATTTGTTTCTGGGTTTTCCTTTCTTATGGAGGGGAGCAGATGTACAAAAGTGTACTGGGAATGTGATTTCAGCACATTTTTCTGCCTCAAAGCTGCTTTTTCTTCTTATTTGTTCCACGCAGGCGGTCTGTATTGTATTTAATATTTGAAGTATGAGTCATTGCCATAGGTGGAGCTATCCCCGTGTGCATTTAGCTATTATATGCCTCATGGCTCAGACAGAAAAGTGGGACACTTTACATAAAAAGGTCTATTCACTGAGCATGGACTGTGCTCAGAGCTGGCTTATTAAAAAAAAAAAAACTAACACTTTTTTCAGTACACTGTTTTCTGCCTCTGTTGTTTCAAAAAGTAGGTTAATGTCCATCTTTAGAACTGGCTTTTTCCCTTTTCCTCATCTTTTAAAGATACATTTTTCTTCACAAGCCGATGAAAAATGTAAACCGCCCCCCTACAGCTTCTGTGATGAATTTATCAGCAATAAACAATACAGCTGTAGTTCAACCGAGGTCACCGCTGGTCAACCCGTCAAACCTCCTGCTGATTTATGTATCAGACTTAGTAATCAGTAAGTCCACCAGAGGGGAAGATTAAGTGCTGTGCATGCAATATTTCCAAAGCTACCATAAACAAAAAAAAGCTGAGCGTTAGCTAGAATGAGCACAATGTATGATCTTACATAAACACAATCAATAGTGCATTAATTCATTTAGACACACAAAATACAGCAGCTAAAGCTTTGTGATGATGGACTAACTGCTGCTTTCCAGGACCACACCACAGAGTTTGCTTTCTCTGGAAGCTTGAATGCTTGAGGTGCCTTAAAACATGCAGTGGCTGTACTTTAAATTGTTTTCCAGTTGAAACCTGTCCACGGAATGGCAGAAGAATCAGTGGAAGGTGCAGCAGGGAGGGTTATTTCTCAGACGTTTCATCCCATAATGTAGATTTCTGGCAGAGGAATCCAGAAAAAGAGCAAGATCAGATTCCAGAGTAGATGTTTCTGTTAATCACCCATCATAGTTTATCTTTGATATGAATGAGCAATAAGCCAGTAAAAACAAATGTAGTTTTCTGATGCTCCAACTAAACACTATTGCACTATTTTACTCTCAGACCTGTGCACAGTGATAGTAATAAAGCGGTCTGACTTATTTTATTATTTATTTTTTTATTAATCTTATTATACTTTTTTTTAAATTGATGTAAGTTTAATTAAACTAACTGATTCGTTACTTAAACTGGAATACATCTTAGCACGAATTTCTAATTACCACTGTCTGAAAATAAATAACCTAATTAAACCTAATTATATTGTAACATGTGCTTTCGAATTTCGAATGTAATACTAATCAAATGGGGTTAGCTAATTATAATTTTAAACAAGTAACTGTATGTGACAATATCAGCGTTAGGCATCTAAATGAACTATCGGGAGGAGCCTTTTCCTCCGTGCCAGCAGTGGGTTACAGCACCGCTCCGGGCCACAGAAACCGCTCCGTGTTTTGGTCAACTGTCCGTGTGAGTGACTCTGTTCAATGCGCTCCGCCAGCTAAGTAGAGGGTAATACACTCACCCCGCTCAAACGCTGTAAACCCAGCCGGATCATTGGCCCCGCCTTTTTTAAATCTGACCAATCGGAGGCCTTCGAACGCGAGGCTAGGTTGAATCTCTGGAATTGCCCTTGACCTCAGCGAATGGCGCAGCCTGTGGGCGTGGCCTACACAAGTTCGGTTGCACCGGACGTCGTTCATCAACTTTTGCTACTAGAGGATTTCTGCAAAGCTACTTTGCAGCAGCGAAACATTTCCTTTTTCAAATTCGAAATGCAGATTGGCGCATTTATACATTTCTGGGTTCAAAGCGGGATTTGAAAACAACCGGATAATCGACGAGTGCCCGAAGTGACGGGGAGACTCCATTTTCGTATGCAGCTGATCGGCGCAGAGCTAGCTGGTTGCGGCACTAGGCTAACTTTCCCTTCTCGGCTACGGCAGCCAGAGCCAGCAAGCGAGCAGCTTGCGGTAAACTGACGATACTTTCGTTGACTACAAAACACTCCCAGGTAGGTCCACCGGTGTTCGTCCGCGCGATAACGCCTCGCTCCTCTTTCGCGTCCCCACAGAGCAAATCCGGTAAGTTATTTGAATCTTGCTATTTTTGCGCTAGCTCGAGGGCCGTTATTGCTACACTACACCGACGTTTAGCCTCCTCCCTCCCCAGCTGATAACATATTTTTTCGCAGCGGGCTGAAATGCTAAGCTAAGCTAAGCTGTCACGCTCGCGCAAGGTTATCATCCCCCTCGCGCGCGTGAGTCACGTATCTTGGAGGACGCAAAAACAATGAGCCGAGATGGCGTGCTAACTTTCGCACGTCAGCGGCGGCTCGCGCGGAGGATGCTCGGACACGCGATAGCCTCTCGCGCCCGTGTGCGCGCGGGGGTTTGTTGTTGTCTCTGCCCGTCCTCTGAGCAGCTCTGCTCCGTGTGTGTTCGCAGCATGCTGATGGTGGGAGGCAATGGACGGGGGCACTAGAATGAGTGTGAAGGAGCTGTGCGAGACCGATGACCTGGCCACCAGTCTGGTGCTGGACCCTCTTCTGGGCTTCAGCACCCATAAAATGAACATTAGGTAAGCGGAACAATGTCACGGGCAGCGGAGTGCGAACACACCCCAGCCTCCTCTGTGTCGGGATTGTTGTCATTTCTGCTGCCTGCATACTTCTGCAGACGTGTGTACACATGCCAACACACTGGAGCCTCTTTTTAAAACCTTTTCAAAAACCCATCTGTTGGACACTTGATTGAAATGACTTTGTTTACATGTTTGAAATGTTTCTGCATCTTGGAGCAAATTCCATGAATCAGTTGTTGTTGTTTTTTTAAATCCCTGACCTCTGAACCCTCCATTCATTCTCCAATCAAATGTTCGGGGAAATGATGCCTGCTTCAGCAGCTTTTCCTTAAAGGAAAAAGCCCCTTACAGCTAATGCAAACTGTCAGTTCAATGTGACTTTGGTCCTGTAACTCAACTGCATGTTATTGTGCGGCAACTAGGTCTTAGGAGGAAGAAAACATTTTGAGTATTTCTTATCTTTAAAGCTATACCAGTCAGAATTTGATTCAGTATTTTGCACCGTTAAGTGTTGAAGTAGTTAGAACAAATCTTTCAGATTAGATGTTGTTACAGAAAAGTCTTTTTCTGGTTAAGGTGCTGTAATTATCTCTAGGTGGTGATTATAGATACGCTGCCGTCAGTTGTTTATGTGACCAACGTCTGATTTGACAGTCTTAAAATGTTTGTCACACACATGTTAAGAAATACAAATACACTATGAGTTTAATTTCTCAAACTTTCTCTTGTCCCTGACTATGAAATGAATTGTTTCTATGCTCTGGATGATGAGATCCAGGCAGTGTTTCCACCTCTCCTGCGTCCCTGACTCCCCTCTGTCTCCGTTTCAGTCCCCCGCCAGAGATCCGGCGTTGGGGCAACCTCAAGGAGACTCTGCTGAGGTTTCAGCGCACGCACGACTTCAACGCCACCTTCGAGGCGCTGACGGTGGGGGAGCCGGCCGGGGACTTCTTCAGCGCTCTGGGGAGCCACCGGCAGGAGCTGCTGAGACAACATGTAGGCACAGAGTCATTTTAAAAGTCCTGTTTAGTGTTGTCTCTGGGGTGTTCATCCGTTTACTGTGTGTGTGTGTGGACGCAGGTGTATCGCTACCTCAGTGCCTTCCTGCTCGACAGCGGGATCCAGATAGAATCCTGTGACCGATACTCCTCGGAGACCAACGGAGCGAAGATAACCGCCACGCGGCACTGGTGAGCGCCCCCCCCGCAGCCCTTTGCGTTTTTAGCATGACGGTAACTGCAGCCGCCGCCCGTCGGCGCCGTTAGACTGCCTGTGTGTGTGTGTGTGTGTGACCGGGGTTTCCGTGCAGGTTCGTGGGGGAGCGCGTGGAGGTGCTGCTGGGCTGCATCGCGGAGCTGAGCCCGGCCGACAGCGCCGTGCTGCGGGCCGGGGTCAACGACTTCAGCGTCATGTACTCCACACGCAAGCGCTGCGCCCAGCTCTGGCTGGGGCCCGCCGCCTTCATCAACCACGGTCAGTGCCTTTAGTTGCTGCCAAAGAATGGACGGAGGCCGGACTGGCGCTCGCTGACCTCTCGGTGTTCTCTCTGTACACTGTTCAGTTAAAACTAGGGATGTCCCGATCCAGCTTTTTTCACTTCCGATCCGATCCCGATCCCGGCCTATCAGAGCATGTATTAAAGTTTAAAGTTATTTATCTACTTACTTAGTTGTCAGAATCATGTGGAACAGGGATTTACTCTGATAACAACTCAATGGTTAGGACACAGACCTGTGGGTTAGAGATGCTAATGCTAATGCTCCTGTGGGATCGGATTTAACAAAAAACTGGATCTGCATTTTCTGCTCCCGGCCGATCCGATCCAAATATCGGATCGGAACAAGCCTAGTTAAAACATCCCGTTATGGGCTCACTGATTTTGTCAAATTCCTCACACAACTGGAGCACACAACAGAGTCTAATGTTTCCATCTCTTACTGACTGTTTGGCAAACCAGGCCCTCACCTCAGAATTGGTTTTGAATGCGAGGCGTGTTTGTCCTCCGCGGGGGATCATTTCTTTGACCTTTTTTAAAGGGCCCTAAATTGCCACCCAGTCACTTCTGTGCATCACAGTGAGAGATTCCATCGACTAATGATGTCAGCTTCATAGCTGAGTTCATTAGTGAGTTTGATGGATTCTGCTCATGAATGGGCGTGATGTGCAGTTTACAGCAAACACTCGTCTGTCATGGATTATTTAGCAGAATACATGCAGCTTTCTCCTGAAAAGCGGTAGCCATCTATTGAACCTCAGCTTGTCTCTTAATGTCAAATTCAGACGTTCACATTTTATCAGTCTGAGCAACAGCTCTGGTCCAAAGGCTGTTTTACACATTCACTGATTTTTTTAAAATCCACCCTTTGTTTTTCTTACTTATACAGCATGACTAATCAGTTTAGCCTTTGAGCTTTTGCTTACTTTCTAAACAGTCCTTTCCAAACAGTACTTTGTGTGTTGCGGTGATTGTATTAACGACCCTAAATATTGTCTCTGTTTATTTTTCCTGACTTTCTTGGATGAAGACTGCAAGCCCAACAGCAAGGTAATCTGCACTGATCATTTACGCTCTGAGAAACCATTTCATGACGCTGCTGTCATTATTTAGTGACATTTTGAATGTTGAAGTGGCACCTGGGCGCAGATGAGCAATATTCTCCTGCTTTGTTGCTGCCTCCCGTGGGGGAAGCCATCCTTTGTCTAATGCTGTTTTTTCCCCTTTTGCACCTGCACAGTTCGTCCCTGGTGAGAAAAATGTTGCTTGTGTTGAAGTTATTCGACCCATCTCACCTGGGGAGGAGATCACCTGTTACTATGGCGCCAGCTTTTTCGGAGAAGGCAACGAAATGTGCGAATGCCGCACCTGTGAAAGGTGTGTCCCTCGGCTCAGCAGGCGGCGTCTGTGCGGCTGCCGCTATAACTCCTAAAACACAGGGAAAAAGCCCGAACGTGCACGTATGCTCCACATTTCATTGAGCTGTTTTTAACTCCTCGTCAGGAACGGAGAGGGCCACTTCAAGCACAGGGGGAAGCAGCCCGACTGCGAGGAGACAAAGGACCCCGTGGGCCAAAAGTACCGTCTGAGAGAGCGGTATCTCCGTCAGCACAGAGAGAAAGGTCACTTTGCTTCCCGGCCAATAACACCTGGACTCTTTAAAGGTAACGGCTTTTTCCAGCCAAATTTATTTTGACTTTCACTTATCTTTTCAGCCCTAATTTAAAGGACAACTCTGTGAAATTTGGGATGTTCTCTATCGATTGATCAAATTGAAAAACTGAAAATATCATGACCGAAAATTCGACTTACTCTTTAAAGACTGATAGTACAAATCAATTTTTACTCCTGAAAAGATTACCACACAGACTACTGGAGTTTATTGAAGTCTTCTGTCTTCTTCCAAAGTGGCTTTCCTTCTTTGGGGTTCGAGAGGGATCATCATGTCACAAATAGCCGAAAATAATTCAGATTTTCTAACATTTTAAATGTTATAAATGAAAGCATAACAATGATGGAGCATTACACAGACCGAAAGGTCGCTGGTTCAGCTCTCAGCCTCCTGGTGCTAAGTGTTCTTGAGCAAGGCGTTGCAGCCCATCAGAGTGTTATGTGGTCAGTGGAGTGGTCAGTCAGGCTGGAAAAGTGCTCCATACAAACAGTCATTTTCTGTTTACTGTGGTTTTGCTGCTTTGCATGAGCGAGCCAGCAGGTATAATAATGATGGGGGGTTGATTATTTCCCTGGAAGACAACAGTTTATCTTCACACGCATTAAGCAGCTTTTCTCTTTTTTTTTTCTTCCAACTATTTTTCCGAGTCTGAGGCTCTCGTTAGACTTGGTGTGTGTAAATGTAGGAATGGAAGCGGCTGTTGTGTTTCCTGCTGCTGCTGTGACGTAAATCAATTTCCCTTTTGGTCCTCCGACTGCTGAATGAACACATGAGCAGAAAAGAGCCGACTTTAAAATGCCCGTCTGCTTTTGTCTCTCTCCGATAGCCATCCCCTCCAGGAACTCCTTCACCCAGCAGATGAGGAGGAACGCACTGAAGAACAAAAAGTTGAACGAGACAAAAAAGTGGAGGCGGGCGAAGCAGCGAGAGTCCAGGAAGCGCCCGCTGAAGTCCTCCGCCGCCGGCAGGCAGCAACGAACGCTTCCGCCTCTGTCCCGGGTCACTCTGAAGGAGCTCCGGATCAAAGTGCGGCGCCACTCGCTGGAGTTTTTGCTCAACTGTAAGGATCCCAGGAGCAAAGAGCGGGCGCTGCTGCTTCAGCTGGAGGACCTGAAGCCGAGGCAAAACGGACTGAGGCCGCGCAGGCCGGCGGACCAAAAGGCCGCCCTGAACCTGAGGCCTTTCACGCTAAATTCCTCCATGTCCCTTAACCAGAGGAGCAAACCGGCGGGCCTCAGCGGGAAGCCCGTCAAAGTGGTGGGCATGCAGAAGGTTCACATCAGGAGCTCGTCGAGAGCAAGGAGCACGGTTCAGCAGCGAGACGAGGAGTCCAGGAGCGCAAAGGAGAAGGCGGACAGAGCCGTGGCGGACGGCGGCGAGCCCTGCACAGAGGCCGCTCCCCAAAAAGCCGCGGCGCCGTGCAGGACCAGGGCGGCCTCCGCCCCGGCAGAGGTCTGCAAGAAGGCGGCGGCGGTCAACCCAATCATTTGTCTGAAGCAATACATCACGGTTAATCTGACGCGGCTATCGGTGCCGCACGGCGCCGAGGCCAGAGCCGGCGGCGAAGACCGGCCCAGGAGGGCCGCGGCCAAAGGGAAGGGCCAGCCCGAGCCCACAGAAAAACGCGTCTCCAGGTCAGACGCCCCGACAGCCGAAGGCAACAGAGGCGTCAGGGAAATGTTTTTCAAGGCCAGAGATGAAAGGAAGGAGCTTGCAGCTGAGATTGTGAGGGATTTGCACCCCGACGAGAAAAAGAGGCCCGACAAGGTTATTGAGATCCAAAGTTTGTCAGCAGAGGAGAAAAGCTGCGATTTAAACGACAGAAGTAGAGGACAGAGAGACAGAAGGGCAGCTGCGGAAGGTAAAAGTCAGAAGACTGTGGAGGTGAAAGGGTCTGAATGTGAAGCGTCGAGTGGAGAAAACGAAATCCCCTGTGCCGGGGATGCAGGCAAGGACGTGCAGGAGTATGAAGGAGTTTCCAGAGTACCAGGACAGTTGAAGAGAAGTTTGAGGAAACAGCCAGTTAGTAAACCCGAAGACGATGTTGTTATAAAACAGGCTAAAGTCCTCCTGTCTGACATCCTAAGAAAGGATAAATCTCTAATAGACAAGAAGTTGCAGGGAGATCTGGTGGGCAGCGAGTTTTTAACCGCGGTCTCTGAAGAAGTGCAGGGTGCTGAGGAGCAGGATGAAATAAACGGAGGCAGGTGCCATCCCTCAGAGCCGAGGAGGGTTTTGAGAGAGCGAAAGATCCAGCCCGGAGCAAACAAAACAAAAGCAGACAATAAGCAAAGCACCAGGGGCCAGCTGGGCCGAGACGCTCCCGTTTTACTCAGAGCAGAACTGTGCGAGACGGCTATGCAGCGCCCGTCCCCGCAGAAGCACAACGAGCGTCTCTCCGGCTGCCCCAACCCACTACCTCACAAGTCGGCCACGCCCGCAAAAGCTCAGCCGGACCTCAACCCGCCGCCGCACACGCAGTCCAACATACCTCTGAAGAAACGCACCTTTCGCAGCTCCGTGGAAACGAACGAGCAAACTCAGAACCCCTCGGCAGGTCAGGCGTCCACAAAGGCCCCCGAGCGGAGCTCCGCCCCGGAGGCCGGGCGGGAGCCCAGCCCCGCCTCCGGGGAGAGCGGCAGAGCCAGGAGGGAGTGCAGAACCAGAGTCAAAGCTGAAGTCCAGAAGATGACGCCCAAAAGGATCCCCAGACCATCCTCTTGTAGCAGAGTGCTTCGCTCCAGGGCCAGCGAAGCCCAGCCAGCCCATCAGTGGATCGGTAAATCGGAGAGACTAGATGAAGATGAGGCTCAGACACGACTCAGCAAGGAACCCGCGGAGAGCAACCAGCTGGAGGATCCTGAGAACAGCCACCCACAGGGTGACAAGAGTCCACGTCCAAACGGCGAGGGGGAAGCGCCCACTTCCGAGCAGAGCGGCTCAGAGGACACCAAGCCGGGCCTGGACTTCAAGTTCCGTCTCAAGAGGAGACGAGGGAAAGTGTGGGAGATGCAAAGCGAAAGCATGTTGTTGAAAACGGAAAAGGGGGACGATACGACGTCGTGCGACCCCTTCAAGGCCATCATGGATTCCGTCTCCATTCTAAACATGGAGATGGAGGCGGCCCAGGCTCACGTTCACGCCAGCAAGAAGTCACTGAGCCGACTGCGTCGCCTAAAGCGCAGAGGAGAGAGGAAGAACGACAAGCAGGCGGTGCTGCCCTCCGCTGAGGCGAAAGCAGACAAAGCCCAGGACAATGCTAAAGGGGTCCGTGGACCGAGCGACTCCAGCGGCGGCAAAGCAGAAACGAAAGAGAAAGTCGACGGGCCGCCTCTGTTAGGAGCCCAGCAACTTAGTCAGAATGGTGCCAGTGAGAAGGTTTCATCCAGAGGGCCCCCGACCAAAACAGAGGATCGCTTTCTAAATAATTGTTGCTTGTTTGAAGGTGGATCGCAACATAAACTGGAGCCAGGACTGGATTCAAATGGGCTTCCATTACCGGTGATAAAACTAAGGAGAAAGACAGAGGACATTTGGGAGGTGGACAGTAAAGAGGAGCTCCTCCACCCGGAGCTAAAAATAGATATAAAGAGAGAGATTAAGGGCCACGTTTTAGGGAAACAAAAGAAAGTATGCAGTGATTTTAGCACATTCAAAGAGCTCTCGTCCTCTCAGAGACTGAACAACTCGGCCTCTCTTAAACAAGAGCCACCGCCATTTTCTCTGTCTCTGTCGCCACTGTCGCTGTCGTCACCCCTTAATGACAACAAAGCCGAAGTTATATCAGATAAAATCCCTGAGAGGTCAGAGATGAACAGCGGAGGAAGGAAGCAGAGGCACAAAATGGACAGAATGCGCAAGTGTGGGCCTGTGGAAACACCCACCACTTGCCTTAGTCACACACTTCAACAAATTGATAACAGTCTCTCCAGGCTCTCTGAAGGCCTGTGCTCCTCTCAGACGCTGGAAAAGCCCACAGCCAGTGCTGCTAATTCTGTCATCCAGCCCCCGTCGGAGTCGCCTCCATTCACCACGGCGGATAACATGCTGTCCGACGAGCCCAGCTTCTCCAACTGCTGCGACGACATCCTGGACTTTCAGTGTCTCAGCTTCGAGGGGTACTATCAGCCCCAGAACATCCTCCCGTCCTCTCCGTCGGATCTCTGTTCGCTGGATCCGCCCACCGATCCTTTCAGCAGCCCCCTCTCCCACAGCCCGTCCGACACCTGGGCCACCGAAACGCCATACCTCGGCCCTCCAAGCCCCGATGACAACTTCACTAGTGAAGATCTGCAGTTCTTCCCGGGTCTCATTTCCTCCAAGGGCGATTCTGTTCCTGTGCAATGTGAAGCGAAGGATACCCCGAAAGACGGGAACCCGTCCATCCCCGGCTTTAGTTTCTCTGCTCTGGGGAGCGCTGACTTGATGGCTAAGGATCGATTTCTGGGCAGAAATCTAGGAACGAGGCTGTCCAAAGAAGACTTCAGATCCCAGTCCTTTCCTGCCAGCAAGCCTCGAGTGTTTGGCACAACATCGTCTTCAGTTACGTCTCAGACTCCTGTTACATTAACCCAACCCACCGTCACTTTTAAGCCCGTTACCAGCCAGTCAAAACTCCAGTCTAACCTCAAAACCCAGGGCCCTTTCCACCGCATGACCATTCCAGCTAAACCGCCTTCTTTTCTTAGTAGTCAGGCAAGCACTGTTAGAGGAGTCTCCTCCCAAATGGCCAACAGATTCCTCTCTCCTCAGCTCTTCTCAGTAAAAAATCCCAACCCCGCCGACAGTCCGTTCAACTTTCAGGAGAAGCCCTCCACAGTTATCCACAGGGTTCTCAAGTTTCAGGGGGGGAACCAGAGTCAGAACTTGTACAGCGCACCTTGTAAGGACGCCGTTGCCGCCGGCAACCCGACGGTCACGCCCCGGACATTCGGCGCAAAGCCGGGCGCTATCGAGAAGACTCCGCAGTGTCAGAGGTTTAATGCAGACAGCCACGAAAAGACCAGCGTTCCCGTTCACGGCTTTGGGAAGGACATCGGCCACTTTGGCTCCTCCAACAATCTGAGGTCCAACATTCAATTCAACAAACCTAACTCTTCTATTTCACAATCGTTCTATAAAGGTAAGATGCCCTCCGATAAGCAGGACGGCAGCGAAAGCGTCATGATGTACAAGAACTTTTCCGGCATGCCGAGACCCTTCTTCTTTCCCAGCAAAAGCTCGGACGGGTATCCGTCCCCGCAGGATAAGGGCGGGAAACAGGACAAGCCCACTCTGTCGGCCTCTGACAAACACCAGCCGTGTTACGCTCAGCAGGACCCCTTTGACTTCAGCTTCGGCTCCTCCCTCTCGCCGGTGTCTCAGCACAGCAGCCCCCAAGTGGTCCACAGCACACCCCCGGGCACACCAGCACCAGCAAACAAGAGTCAGTCCTCCACCTCCTCAGCTTCCTTCCCGTGTGGCTACCAGGGTCCGCCCTACGTGCTGAACTTCAGCGGAGACCATTCCTTGACCCTCGGCCTCAGGGACGGTGTCGACGGGTACTCGGGATTCGGCTCGGCCAACTACACCTACCATTGCCTGATGGAGCCGTCGGGCACTCAAGGACGCCTGGTCCTGGAGCCCTGCGGACCCCAGCTGCCCAACCCGGCGTCTCTGGGCGGGTTCTCGGGGCTCCGGGGTCAGGACGAGCACTGCAGGAAGGACATGCAGCAGCAGTGCCAGCCCGGGGAGCACCAGGGCCCCCCCCACTACGGACCAGCCACCACCTCCCACTCCATGGGGGCCACCAAGCCCAAGAGGGTGAGGTTAGTGGTGACCGACGGTACCGTCGACCTGGATCTTCAGTACTCGGATTGAGCAGACGCCACTGGATCTAAAGTTTATATTCAGCGGGGATCATCCAGTATCCGCCACTAAAAACGGTTTTTGTAAACGGTTGCAGGTCGAGTCACATTTTTTTAAAACCTAATTTTGATGAACTGTTGATGTGCAAATGAATTGTACAGAGTTTTGTGTAGAGCAGGCTTTTTCAGTGTTTAATTACTAATTACTACTAAAAAACCAAGTCCACTACAATTTGCGTAGGAAACCAAATTTCGGATATATGGAGAACAGAAAGCATTAACTATATTTGTGAACCTACTCTGCTTACGTCGGGCCCCTCTGACTGTACTGTAACATAGATGTATGATTTTTCTATACCATATATGGTAGTAGACACAGAAGGCTCCTCCATCCTTTGCTGGTACTCGTTTAGGTGGGAGGTAAACAGGCAGCTTTGTGCCTCAGTCTTTGATATTCTTGTGACTTTTAAAAACAATATCTACCCTCATTTTTTTATACTCACCTTAAGCTCTTTTCTCACGTTTGTTTGTGTGCGTGTGTGTGCATGCAGTTGACTGGCAGAAACTAGGGATCAAAACATGGCGCACGGTCGTGGCCGATCACATGACTGTTCTCTTCCATTACTCATCCACGCATAAATGAAAGGCTCGTGCATGAACAGTGTACAGTTAAAAGACTTCTCCACCTGAAACGACACTCGCGGACATTCTGACTGGACAAACACGTTTGAGGGAGGGGGAAAAAAAGCAATATTTAGGGGAGGATGCATCAAGAGGTGTTTGTATTGCATTTTCTCCCGGCGGGCAGACTAAGAGAAATCTTTCGACATTACCTTGTTGCATCAGCAGTGTGACAATCTTCTCACGTAATAAATCTGTTCCATTTGTGTTTATTTTGTTCCCAAGGAAAAAAACAGAAGGATACGGCGTGCAGTAGTTTAATCGTCTTTTTGTCGTTGCAAACGCAGCGTTTGCAGGTGTTTTATATTGTAACGGGAGAGATTTGCTGTAGATTGTGGAGGTCACGGGAGCGTTCTGCTGCAGTGTTCGGTGGCGCTGCACAGCCTTACATTACTACCACAAAGATGTACTGTCTTGATATGGAAAGGCCAATTTATTTATTTTAATATCCTCACTCTTGAAAAGGTGCTTTGATGTAATTTATATTTCACATTGATTGTTCAGACTATTAAATGTTTTTTATTACTATTATTTAATGGGACAAAATTAAATATTTACAGTGAGTATTTAATTTACAAGTCTGTTGACATCTTATCCATTTTCTTTGATTGTTGCAGATAAAACTAGCTTTTTTTTCTAATTGGCTGTTCGTCTTACTGGACATCTGCTGTAGAAATGTACAAATGTAGTCTATATCATTAAAGACACAATTTTTTTTTGTATTTCTGTCTTCCTGTTTTCTTGAAGTACCTCAGTGATAAATTGCAGCTAAATGTGTTCATACTTAGCTCTGTTTTTTCCAGCAAAAAGGAACGCTGCCTCAATTTTCTCTCACTCATCAATGAATTCACATCTGTGTTTCAGATCACGATCAGATACTTGCTAATGAGTTTTAAATAAAGTATTCACCCACCATGTTTCTGCTGTATTTGCAGGGCTTCACTCTGAAATACACAAACGGTCTAACCATATAAAGTCTCTCTGGAATGGGCTGTACCGATTAGGTTCTACTTTTGCTAGCATACTGGGTAATTGTTCTGTTTCCGAACCTGACCTTTGACCTGACACCTGTTCTGCTCTATAAGGATGCTAGTTGGTGCTCACCACAGGAAAACGGTACGATCCGAGCTGCAGAGAAACTGTCTCACACCGTCTCTCTTTTTTATGCTTTGTTCGTGTCTTTGTTCCCTTCCTGTTCTGAAATATTCATTTGGTTAATTTCAAAGCTCAGGGCAAGTGTTGGTCTCCCCGGTTTAGAGCGTTCTGTCCTCTCTCCACCTGCTCTTTCATCTCACAACCAGCATTCTTCTCTTCTATCCTCTCCTCTCTTACAGCATGTGACCCACTTCTGCCTTTCTTTCCAGCTCTCACAACCAGCCAAGCAGCTATTTCTGTTGCCAAGTGTAACATATTTTTCCTAATGAGGACGGAAAAAGAAAGACGGAGATTATTATTACAGTAGTGACGGAACGGGGGGTTTTGATGATAGTACTGTTGAGTTGGGGGGGAGGGAGGAGAGGTATTACTGATGTGAAAACTGTTCCTCTGAACACAGGCTCATTCAGCACAGATACACACATTTATGCAACTGACTGGCAGCAGCGAAAGATCCAGATTTAAGGAATCTTTCTTAAAACAATATTAACTGTATTTTACCGTCAATATTGATGCATCCATGTGAGTAAAGTCAAGTCGAAGCTAGTTTTACACATATTTCGTTAAAAAGTTTGAATTAGGAAGCATAGGTCAACTCTATTAAATGTATTTGCTGGAAATGAGAACTCATTAAAGGGAAAATTAACCTCTTAGATGAGGTTTTATCTTACGAGCAATCTGGAGAAATAACTGTATTTTTAGTAAAAAAGTGAGGTCTAAAAATAATTCAAGAACAAGTGTTACTGTTAAATAAAATATCAAATGGTTTATGTAAATGAATAAAGTCTTGCCATCTGTTAAAAGCTACAAATAAATGCTGTATAGTACAAGAAGAAGACATCTTTGCTCTGTCTCCATCTTTCTGGCTTTTTCTTTATTCATCGCCGCTCTCGGCTTCCTTTAGTGTACATCACAAGTCCATTAAAGCATGGCAGCAGGGCGCGCGGACACGTGACACCATGTTCCCTGCGTTCGGGCGTCTGGGGATTATAATCTGTCGTGGGATATGAGCCCTGCCATGCAGCTGGAGCCCTGCAAAATGGCTGACTGAGTCAACTTTCAGCCGGATCTCGTGTTAGCGTACAACACCAGAGCCACGATCGCCATCAACCGGGAGGCGAAACGCAAATGGTTTCTGGCCCTTCGGAAACCAGCTCGGAGACGGAGAAAAAAGGGAGATTTGGAGGGGTGGACAAACATCGCACGTTATTTCCCAGGTGACAGGTGGCACAGGCTGCTGGCTGAAGTGTTAGTGCATTAGTGTAAATGATGACAGTCACAAAAGCCCCGTGTGTGTCTGACAGAGGGGGCTGAATAAAAATGTCAGCCGCGCAAGATGGGATATTGCTCTTATGATTATTACGGCTATCTTTCTTTATTAAGTCTGACTGGCTGCTGGTCCCGGCCACGGTCGTTTTGATGAAGCTGTCCAACCCTCAGCCGGTTTGACTCTGATTCTGATTCAGTCAGGGTCCTGATCCAGGGCACGAGGAGGCCCAGACCGGATGGAGCACCGGTTCGCCCCTGGTGTTGATCAACTGGGAGACCGTGAGCTCTCAGCGGATTCCCCCTAATGTCACGTCAGTGGATCGGCACACAGTTTTGGCCTGTAGTCGTTAGTTCCACTTGTGAGAGATGTGAGGGGTTTTCCTGCCTTTCGCTGCAGTCCCTGAGACACCATGCCACCGCATTCGCTTCACTCGTTTCGGCACGCAATCCCCATTTGCGTGCTATACTTAGATGCCCTATTCAGTTAGGAATTAAGCAGCAGACTGTTAATTCAGCCGAACGCATTCAAACGTTTGTGGATTTGTAAAAAACAAAAGGCCACTTTTCTAGCTCCTTCTGGTCGGAAAAAGCCTCATAAGAGCGGGTTCAATAGAACCTAAAGAAGATACTCCCAATTTTCCCTACAACGGTGGAGAGAAAAAACGCTGCCTTTATGTCATTTTCCATTCACAGGACAACCTGTGGAATTTAAATGGAGTGGAAATGGTGAAGAAGGTGATAGAAAAGCCTGAAAAAGGTCCAAAAAACGTTTCAAACGTTTCAAACTATCTTTGGTTTTTCATTGACTGTTTGTTTTTTCCGTATCAAGCAGAAGACTTCTATCAGACTCTTTGGAAAAAAGGGAGACCTGACAGTTGAGAAGTCTCAGTTTATCTCTGTGATAATGCACTCACACACACACACTACCGGTGTAACTCCCTCTCCCGGCCCGGCTCCGGTCTGTTGGAGGGGCGTGAGCTCCTCAGAGTGAGTCTGACATGTTCCTCTCACTGCCGTTTGGCTTGATGGAGTTGATTTCTAATTGCGGCTTCATTCAGCTCGGCTGCAGAAAGCTCCTTCCCCCCCCCCACCCACAGTCCTCTCCTTCACCGTATGATAATAAGCATTGCAGCATTGCTCCTCACCCTCTCACACACGTCTCGTTCATTCTTTATTCATATTTCTGTGGGCGTGAGAACACACATGACGGGGAGCTCTGCTGCAGATGTGGATGCAACCGCTGGATTCTGGGGGAGTCTTACTCTAATTGATTCATTTGGTTTTGTAGTTGATTTTGCACGGTGATTGCCTGATGATCCTTTGTGCGTTTCCGGGTGAGCGGTTGGCGTGTGTGAGTCCCTGCACCACCGGGTGGATTCCTCTGTGTGAGAAGACACACACACACACACACAAAAAAGAAGAAAATCCTGATTCTTTCCACTGCTTAGTCCAACTCTAAAACATCAAAGACACGGGGGAGAGGTGGGGAGAGAGGGGATAGACAGATAGAAGGAAGGGAGGGGTATGCCCTGTATCTGGGTAATGATGGAGGAGGGAGAGCTGGAGGAAGACAGAGAGGTGAGGGAGGAGGGTGGGAAAGAGAACCGACCAACCAGTATGAGGAGAGAGAGGGAGCTGGAGGGAGGGAGGGAGGGAGGGAGGAGGGGAGGACATCGAGCGAAGGATGGGGAGATTGCCGGACCAAAGAGATAGAAGTGTTACTACAGAGCTAGAGCTGTTGGAGGACAGTCTGGGAGTCGAGGATAATGCTCCATCCCTGAACGCCGGACACCTTCTGATTTCTTGCGGCGGAGGAGGCTCTTTATTGCCGCTGCTGTGATTGTCTCTCCTTTTTTTCCCCCTCCTTTTCCATCCCCTTTTCCAGCTCGTCCCCCCTCTCACTCCTTATTCCTCCGCAACTGGCAACCGCTGGGCTCCCCCCCCCCCCCTCCCTTTTTTTTTCTCGTCCCCCTTTTTTTTTCCAGTGGAGTGGATTTCAGTATTTCATCAGGGATTGTAGAAGACAGTAAGAATGTTTTCTGTCTTTTCTTTTCTTCTCTCTCTTTTTCTTGGCTGACATGCATGGAAGCGGAGGAAGGCGCGGGGCAGAGAGTGTGATTTCATGTTTGTCGAGCGATAGTGGAGGAGTCAGCGGGGGGTGTGTGTGCGTGCGTGTGTGTGTGTGTGTGTGTGTGTGTGTGTGTGTGTGTGTGTG